GCGTCTGTGTGCGTGGCTGGCAACAAGCCATTAGCAATTTTGCCGGTAAATTGACGACATTTTTTCAGGGTGTAATACGCTGGCACATGCAGTTTCGTCTTTCTCTTAAACGTACATCTGCCAAAAAAGTAATGAAAAATGAAGGGGAAAAAAAAGAGAGAAAAGTCTTAGAAACACTGGAATATAAAACAAAACAAAACACGTATACCGCATATGTTACCGCTGCAGGGTGTTCCCACGTCAGATCGTGCAATGAGAGTCCGGGGCATTTTTTTTTTTTTTTTTACATTTATGTGAAAAGTATATGTTAAAGCCATGTTCTTGGGAGGAGCACTCAGCTACACGCGAATGCCGTAGCTAATTGTTTTTCCGTAGATATAACATTTCGAAGCTCGAGGCATGAAAATTGCCAAGCTTTTTCTATGGTACACCCGTCAATTTCACACCGAAGCACGCACGCAGTAATATATTTTTTACTTACTTTATCAAAAGTTTAAGACATGTGCATATAATATTAAAAACTATCATAAAAGATTTTTATGCAAACAGATTTACGAAACACGTCAAATAAACACGTCTGAGAGACACATTCACAAATTATTTACTAGCAAACTTCTTCACATAAAACGGCGCAAAATATATCAAAATGATAATGCTTAGACGCTTTTTTACAAATATAGAAGAAAAATATGTTTATCCATTATTTTTGTTCTATAATGAGGGCAGAAATGTAGCTCATTTCTCTAAATCTGACAAAATTGCACGCCAATAAAAAAAAAGTAAAAAAACAACAACAAAAAAAAACAGCATCCTTTTTTACCTTTTTTAACCGTTTACAGTTATTTGAACGAACTTTTGTTGGCAAAACATTGAGTTAAGATAACAACTGCAACAAACCTTCACTCAAATTGAGCTATAGCTCGTCGTCGTTATGGGGACTCTGCGAACGCCGTCGGCTTCAAGGAGACACTTTTACAACGTACAGAGGCTGTACAGCGGTGCTGCTCTATCTTAGAGTATAGAACGTCATATGCTGTCCCAAGTTAGCTCTATTGCTGGTTTTATATTTGTGTTTTCTTGCATTGTCTCCCCCACCCTCCTCTTTTTCCACAGACCAGAAGCTCACGAAGAGATGTCGACGGACGCCACTGGGGGGTGTATGCGGAGAGCAGTCGTCTGCCTCTTGCGCAGGAGCTGCGGTGACGTCAGAACGAAGCCGAGCTCTGATTGGCTGATTGAAGGATGGTGGGTAGACCTCAAAGGGCAAGCTGTCTTGACGTCTACTTGCTATCCTACGGTGAGAGCCAATCAGAACTTGGCGTCTTTCTGACGACACAACAACCCCTGTAAAAGAAGCAGACCAGCTTGCGCTCCGCGCACGCAGCACGTTATCGTAATGCCCAAAGACATCGGACGAAGGTGGTCTATCACCGCGAAAACCAGGCGAGGGAAGTTGTGTCTGGAGAGTTTGTGTCTTGGTGTTCACCACTGCGCGACGACAAACAAACCAGCTTATCCTTTCTAAGTATCCATGCGTACAGCAGTGGAATGCAGATGCAACTTGGTAACCACAAAGGCATCGTGTTGGGTGTTTCCATGTCACTTGGTACAGTGATGGTCCGGGTCAAATTTTGTATATTTGTTTTAATTATGAAAGTAATGTTTTTGGGAGAAGTACTCAGCTATACATATCGGGAGCTTCACGAAACGCGTCCCTAATTGTTCCTTCGAAAAGTACGAATCGCACAGAAAAAGGGTCGATATAATATTGGTTTCTGCAAAAGGCAAATTTAGGAAAACTAAGTGTTTGATATAATTATGTCAATACTTACTTTTCGTAATTAACTTTATCAGTAATAGATCTAAAGGCACCATTTCATTTACAAACGCGGCGAGCTTAATGGAAAACCACTAAATTCCCCCACATTGTAGGGATACAAGGCATGAGCAGCCTTTTACGGTGCTCCGTAAAATACACTCAATTTGGACGCGTCTTGAAAAAGAAAAAGGGGGGGGGGGGGGCTTGGGGGGGGGGGGGGGGCACGGAAAGAAACACAAATATAAGGATAAACTAGGGACACCAAAACTACGATAGAACAGTACAGCTGTGAAGCCTTTATCGGTTGTAGAAAAGGTCTCTTTGGAGCCGACGTCGTACGGCAGAGCCCCTGTAACGAAGACAAGCTAGCTCTATTCGAATGAAGGTTTGTTGTCGTTTTTCTCTTAAAAGACACATAAAAAGAAAAATGTAGTTGGTTTGCAAATAATTTGTGAATGTGCCTGTAAAACGTGCTTATTTGACGCGTTTCGTAATTTTTTTTTTTTCCGTAGAACTCATGTATTGCAATTTTTCATATTCTGTGTTCACCTTACATTACACCTTACACACATAAACCTTACATTAATAAAAATTTAAAAAAAAATACCGCAGGTCACTTAAAGGAGCTGTGCAACAATTTCAGGGCTTTGCTTAAATAATTGGGGAAGTTGATGCCTGACACTTCTGCAGTGAACTACAGGAAACAGATTTTGCCTGGATACCCTAGATTTTATTTTAAAAAATGAGAAAGATCCACGTTTTTGCCGCCTCTCAACTCGTGCATCGTCTTCCGGGTCACGTGCACAGTGACGTCACTTGAGTAGGCACGGAGTTCCGGAAGAGTTCTCTCTTTAAAGCCATCAGCGAGCAGCGAGAACTCATCCGCTCGCGACCGCGTGACCACCCGTCCTTGCCCGTCCGGCGCTGTCCCCCTCCCCCTCCGGCTTCTGGCGGCTGTTCGCGGTTTTGTGGACCTAGGATAGATGGCGCCACTAAAACTCCGTATAATAAAAGTTTTGTCGATGATACCAGGGTTTTGACGCATTTATATATATGTTGGAACGACTAGATTCATAAAAAAGTTACCTTTTATCGAGCAGGTATTCGCACAACTTGCTATCTTTTTTACAACTACCCAAGTGACGTCACGCCGCTTGTTTCTCATGGCCGCCGCTCGTAACTGCAGGTCGGGAAATATTCCAAGTTTTGCCTCGCTATTACGCGGCGGAATCGCAACATTTCGATGAAAGGAGGTGTGTTTTCTGCCATTTGTGACACAGTGAACAATATCAATCGAAAGCAGAAAATGCCAATTCTTTCAACGTTAAAATCGTTGCACAGCTCCTTTAAGACTGCTGACATGTAGGAATGCGAAAGCATTCGTAAACGTAGCGTATTCCTACACGCTGCGCGCCCCGCTATCCTCTGCAGAGGCCAGCCGGGCAACCTCTGCGGACGCCGGCCGGCCGGGTTCGCGGGAGCAGCGCCGCTAAGTGGGGTGGCGTTCTTTGGGACTATCCGGCGCGCCGGCAGCGTCGCTGCCATTTTAAGAGCCGTTCCGCGGAGATAATTTTTGTGCCATTTTTCGCGGTTACGAACAACGCCGACTCCGCACCATGGGACAGTTAATACTTTCGCATTAATAAGTAGAAAAAACGTATTACTACGCGCATGCTTCGCTGTAAAATCGACGGCTGTGCAAAGTACCATAGCGAAGCCATGGTAATCTCCACGCCTCGAGTTCCAAAATTTTTATATCTGCAGAAGAAAATTTGTAACGGCGTTCGCATATATCTGAATGCTCATCACAAGGACATGGCTTTAATAAATATTTATTTTATAGAAATATTTAAAAAAAATGTGACCCGGATCGTCACTGCACGATGTGACTTGGAAAAAGGCCTGCGGTTAGCAAGAAAACAAATTTAGCAATGGTGGTGACCAGCACGAATGTACCGTTCACTGAAGCTGTTCCATGATACATAATGCGCGTCCTGAAAAAAGAAAAGAAGAAGAAGAAGAAGAAGAAAAATAAAGATTGTCCTGGTGAAGAACAGCAGAGAAATAGTCCGAGGGCGAAACAGAAGAAGGGGGATGAAATGAAAGTGACGGGAAGGACGAAGGCAAGAGAAAAACGCCTTCATCAGCGTAAAATACTTTTTGTCGCTCTCCTTTGATTCCCGTAACTTACCAACACACTCAAATACATCAATGATAAAAATAAAAATAAAAACAGTTTTCGGATATGTTTGCTTTTGTTGCGCTGGTCTAAGTTTGTTTCCATCACTGCGTTTCAGACATCTCCAAATTTGAGAGTAGACAGTCGAGTCTCCTGTAGCCGCTCCCACAGAAACGCAAGACTACTCATACTCAGTGTTCACTTTATAGACGTGTCTCCAAGTACGACTGTACGCAGCCCCCATTTATTGTGGCGGCGACTGCAAGACCAATCGTTAGTAATTATAGCGTCCCTTGGGCGGATATTACGACCAATTCCAAGCCAACCTCTTGACAAGGTTTGTTCGTTTATTTTTTTTCTTCGTCTTTCTTCGTATCCATTTCTCCAGATCTTGATAAACGCACGCCCTCTTCCGTTCCTTCCCGACTCTAAGAATCCAATGAGGCAACAGTTCCAGGATTCACAAGCCCGAAAGGGTCCAAACAAAAACGGTATATATATATATATATATATATATATATATATATTAGCTTTGTGGTCACTTGCATTGCCTTATGGTCACTACCGACCGTAGAAACAAGAAGCAACGGCACTTGTTTCTAAATATTTCTGTTCCAATATTAATCAGGTGGCGCCGCCAAGCCGCGATGAAATTATACGCAGGGTACGGACAACAGTGAGTAGCCATTTAAACCGTCCAACAAGCCTGACGCAAAGCATTTGGACCAGCTGTGTGTGTGTGTGTGTGTGTGTGTGTGTGTGTCTGTAAGCATTGTAGCTGGAAAAAAGGGGGGAAAATGAAAGCCTGCTGTCCTAGCATCCGCTAGCGGAGCGAGCGAGGGCGAGGTCTGGCGAAGTTTATCCTCCTCGCTCTGAATAGCCAACGAAGGGACTCCCCCCACGTGACATCAGACCGGCTGGGTGGCGAAAATAAAGAGAGCAAAATAAGGAAAGCGTGGAGAGCGACGAGAGGGAGAAAAATTCTGCGCACTCTCCCCAACCACGTGAGCAGGAGCTCCGCCTGTGGAAGGCCGTGGAGAGTCGACGACGTTGCCGCCGTGGCCGCCGTCTCGAAACAGGCCGGGAGCGAGCGAGCACGCCGAGACAGCCGCGTGCTGCCAAAGCGACCGAGACGGCTTGGCGAGCGAAGCAACCTCAGCAACAAGGCGAGCTTTCGGTCTCAAAAATTCCACGCCGTGGACAGCAGTCGACCGACGTGGTCTGTTCTTCCCAACTCTCGTTTCAAGTTCCTCTGCCAGCGTCCCCGCCACCCGCGGCGGTGTTTGCACGTTGTCGCTAGTGCGTGTGTGCGTGCGTGTTGGTGTTTTTAGGGGTTTTTTTTTTCTTCTTTTCTTTTCTTGAGGGGTGGGAGTTCGCGCTTTTGTTGTTGTGCGATGCCAGGAAGAGAGATCGAACGCATGGCGGGCAGCTGTTGTGGTCGGCGGACGCGACGTCCCGATGGTGCTATGGTCAAGGCGACCCTCGGAGTTCTGCTCGGGCTGTTCTTGGCGTTGTCCGGACTGGCCAGCTACGTCTTCTTCCCGACCATCCTCAAGACGCAAGTGGAGCTGGTGAGTAGCGCTTGTTGTCGGTGTTGTCAATCTAAGTATTATGAAATCTCATTCATCACACCAACGTCTCACGACACTTCAGGAAACAAAACCTTCGATTTTTTTTTTGTTTAATATACATAAAAACTACTTTAGCCAGCTTGGTAGGATCCTTACAACTGTTGACACTGAGAATGTAAGAAATGCAAAGAGCGGCGCGTCCCTAGCTCTTTTGTGAATGTCGCTCTTTGGTCAGTGAGATCACTGCATTACCGATACGAATGCCGGAGAACAAATCAACAACCAAGACGCATGAACATAATAGGTCACATCCTGCGTTTCTTGAACTATCAGTTACTATATAGATTTAGAAATCATTAAAAAAAACTAACTTATGGCAAGTAATGCCGTTATCAAAATAAATAGAATATTTTGGACATTCAAAGCAGCGTAGGTCTTCAGCCTTTAAATGCTTGACGTGCACCACTGCTAACTTTTTTCATCGACCAATGGTTGATCATATCGGTCTGCTAGTTGGTTCTCATCCTTGGCCCTCCGTCATAGCGCCCTTGGGGTCTGATGAACGTTTTTGTTCATGGCGGATTCCGCACGACATCAGGCATTATCAAAAACCCGCTCTTTATCATAGTAATCGTCCCACTTCAGTCTCTTCTTTGTTCGACATGATAGTGCTGTAGATTGTCATGTTTATGCTTGTAAAAGAGTAAGGATATTAATAATAATGAGAAGAAGAAGAAGAAGAAGAAGAAGAAGAGGAAGCATTTAAACTGATGATTGTGAAAGAGTCACACAAGGGATCCTGACAAAATTCGAGAACTCTTTCCAAGGTTTGAAATCTGTATGGTCTTCTAAGAGTATATATATTCAATGTACTCTCTTCGTAGTCTTACAATACACCCGCTTCAATGTCTAAGATCATGATGGTATAAATAACACTTACAAAGGCTTGGCGTTTTAAGTCCAAATGTGCTCAGGCCAGCTATTCTGCACCACACTCTCCCTGGAAGGGTGTGTTTACAGTGTAAACTTTACACCTTTGTTGGAAATGAGAGGGTGTTAATTCGTACTTGATGACCTCTTGAAGCGCAAACTCGAGCCACATTCAATGTTTCGAAGCACGAACAAAGGACACAGCGTGTTTGTGCTTTGTTGTCAGTACTTTGTTTGAAGGCATGTAGTGTATACGCTGTACTAAATTGATTCCGGAACGTCTAGGGGCTAAAGGCTTGGGACATACCCACTCTGCTTGTTAACAGCTTTCATACAACCCATCCCAATACGACGCACCTCTACCCGATATCGAATCCTCCACACATACAGGGTGTCACAAAAGAAAATTTACACTGTTTTTTTTTAACCGCGCAAAAATAAACTAGGCATCGCCGAACGCTAATTCTCCGCCCAAAGGTAGAGCTAGAGATCACAACCAGATACCAAACTTTCAGCCCGATCCGATCACTTAATCAAAAGTTATGAGTGATTTTATGAAAATTTCAATGGGAAAATGGAGCCCATTTTTGCCCGTTTTCGGTTTCTAGTACCATATGTGTTTGAAAAGTCCGTCGGCCACCATTTTCCCATTGAAATTTTCAGAAAATCACTTATAACTTCTGATTAAGTTATCGAATCGGGCTGAAACTTTGGCATCTGGTTGTGACCTCTAGCGCTACCTTTGGGCGGAGAACGAGCGGTCGGCGATGCCTAGTTTATTTTTGCGGTTAAGAAAACCGTGTAAATTTTCTTTTGTGAAACCCTGTATATATATATATATATATATATATATATATATATATATATATATATATATATACTGCTCAGTTCCCTTCGATAGACAAGCATTTGAATATACAGGTTGCGCACGAAAACATATTTACACTGCGGAATACTGATACGCCATTTAAAACTAACGCTCGCTTAATTTTTCTTACTGTAATGTACCAGTTACGATCTACATGTGAAAATAAAGCTTGTGGCGTTTTTTTTTTTTTTTTTTTTTTTGTTGTTGGTAGATAAGAAACAACACAATACAATACGTGCTAATGTAGCTATATGCCGTCTTAAGGTGGCGATGCAAGCGAGTTGGTTCATGACTTCTGAAATTGGAAAACAGCGCGCAAAAAGACGAAGACGACGAGAGAAGAGCACAGGACAAGCGCTGACTATCAACTGAAGTTTTATTAAAAAAGGCTCAAGCAAGAAAACACCACACAGTCAACCAACGCCGAAACAACCAATGGCGTGTCGCTCACCAGTCATCTATAAAATCTATCTCTTTTTTGTGAAGATAAACAGAAGGTTGGCTGACGCAGTGCCCCGCGCCAGCTTTTTCGATGGCATGCGCCTCCAGCACCTCTCTTTGCACTTTTGTGCGCCCCCTGCCAATGATTAAGGTATTTTGGAAGACGGGGTGACACTGGCAGTCTCTGCAATGTACGTACAAGTGACCTCCGGTCATTGACCGCAGGGAATTCGCATGCTCAGCAGCATGCATGAGCATGCTCATGCATGCTGCTCAGCAGCAGGGAATTCGCATGCATGAGCATGCGAATTCCCTGCGGTCAATGACCGGAGGTCACTTGTACGTACATTGCAGAGACTGCCAGTGTCACCCCGTCTTCCAAAATACCTTAATCATTGGCAGGGGGCGCACAAAAGTGCAAAGAGAGGTGCTGGAGGCGCATGCCATCGAAAAAGCTGGCGCGGGGCACTGCGTCAGCCAACCTTCTGTTTATCTTCACAAAAAAGAGATAGATTTTATAGATGACTGGTGAGCGACACGCCATTGGTTGTTTCGGCGTTGGTTGACTGTGTGGTGTTTTCTTGCTTGAGCCTTTTTTAATAAAACTTCAGTTGATAGTCAGCGCTTGTCCTGTGCTCTTCTCTCGTCGTCTTCGTCTTTTTGCGCGCTGTTTCCCAATTTCAGAAATATATGCCGTCTCGACGACTTGTGTGCCATATTGACCTCAAAGACAAAGCCAAAATTTGTTTTTAGTCGAAGCTACAACCCGGTATTCCACCTAATCTTGGTCTTTCGACACCGAGTTACTTTGAACAGGAATCTGGGAGATCTAGCCCAGGACCAACGTGGTCCTGATCTAGCCCATTGGAAACTAAGCTTGCGTCTCTTATAGCCAAACCTTGGCTGCCTTCCACTCTGTGGATTATGATTTTGTTTTAAAGTCCTTTCTATTTTGTTTGGTATCTTGTTTTGTGGCACGTTACTTTACGGTACTGCCTGACAACAGGTTCGTTAACGCTGTGTTAGTTATTTAGGCCTTTTAGAGAGTGAAGAGCTTGTTTTGTTTTCTACCAGCTTTGACTATCTAAATGTTTTGATGTTGTCAATATTTTACGCAGTACAGCTATTTAGCTGTAGTGCGTACACAACATATTTGTTAATCCTGTGTTCGCGTGTACGTTTCAGGGAGCAAAGCGTTCAATAGCATTGCTTCTTTTTTTTTTCTTTTTACCAGTTCTGGTCATTTTAGTTTTTTGCTTTGAAGCACGTCACTTCGCTCGCTGTACTGAGTACGCAGCATCCGTACACAACGTGTGTAGTGTGTACGCAACATGTTTTCTAATTATGTGTTCGGAATATGCGTTATATGCATTTTAGGGAGTAAATAGCTTACTATTATTTCTACCAACTTGGACCATCTTCGTGATTTGTTCTGGAGTACGCTACTTCGCGCTACTCGGCCTACAAAATTCATACACATGTTCGTTAATGATGGGTTCATAATATGCGTTTCAGAGGAAAAATTACGTAATCTTATTTATCTGTTTTATGAACCAGCTTTGACTAGCTTAGTGTTTTGATTTGAAGCACGTTACATCGCGCAGCTGCCTGCATTACACCGGCGCGCACAACATCGTTAGTGGCGTTTTTGTTATACGCGGTTTAGAGAGTGAATAACGTATTTTTGTTATTGCTGCGATACAGTTGCGTATATTTTGGAGGTGAGGAGGAGGGTGGGGGAGAAGGGGGGGGGGGGGGAAGCTGCAAGGAGACACGGTCCCTCCGCGTCACCGGCCTCTGCATCAGGCCGTCGGGCGCGTTCATTGCCCGCCGGCTTTTGGATCCCGATTTCTCGGAAGAGTGGAAGCGCAGGGAGGAGGAGGAGGGAGAGAGCAAGAGAGGGGTGCAAGAAAGAGAGGAGGGGAAAAGGTAGAGAGTGAGAGGGGCGGAGGAGGATGGCGGTGCTGCCGAGCCGACTCACCGCTGTTATTACGTGGACAGGCACGCTGCTTCCGGGCGCTGGGTGCATGTGCACTCGCGACGGCCGCCGTGCTCTGCCGCTGCTGAGCCGAGGTCGCCGTGCTGGCAAGCCGCACGGTCGGCGTTGCTTTCTGCTCCTGCCGTTTGTTTCTCGTGAGCCCGTCCGCGCCGCCTCGTCTTACAGACAAAGGAATCGGGTGATAGGATGGGGAAATATCAGGCTGCGCAGTTGGTCGGAAAGTAGAGCCCGTTGGCGTTTTATTGCTCTTTTCTTTTTTTCTTTTTTGGGCGTTGGATGGGTCGTGGTTTAGGTGCATGTGCACCCGAGAGTTGTAGGCTTTGTGTGAGACGCTTTCAACTGGAGCACGAAGAACAATTGTGATTGAGAAAAAAATAAAGTAAAAACATATAGAGCATTTTAAAGATACTTTAGTATTTTCTGCTACTTTTTGTTTGTGTGTTATATGGATATTTTTATCACCGAACCCCTTCCCTTCTTGTACTGTATTGCAATATTTTGGTAATCTAGGTTTGTACAAACATTATATCTACTGCTTGGGCCACAATTCTGGCTCGGCGTACCCTGTAAATGAGGTAAACAAATAATAGCAATCGGGCATATTTATGCAAACCGAAGCTGAATTTTATTATGCACATTTTTTTAAAAATCTTATTGTACATGTAGCTGTATCGCGTGATCTCTCGTCGTGTAAGTGCTTATGATTTCTATGTGTATAGTTCAATGCGTAATTCATTATATACAACTTCCATGATCGTAGCT